AACCCGACCACAAGCACCCAGCCTGGGAGACAAATGAAAAACTTGGGCAAGCCAGCCGGGAACCCGACCACAAGCAACAGCCTGGGAGACAAATGAAAAGAAATGGGAGACAAATGAAAAAGAACTGGGAGACAAATGAAAGCAAGTTGGAGACAAGCCAGCCGGGAACCCGACCAGACCATCCAGCACCAAGGCGACCATTCTTGAAAGCATTGAGAACCCCTAACAGTAAACTGTTTGGGGAAAAAGAATGTCGTCCAAAAATGTAGTCATTAGTAAATTGTTTAGCTACTAATAGCGATTCATTTGTTACAAGTTAGTAGCGTTGCACTTTGTTACTAGTCATCTGTCGGAAACTGTCGTCCAAAAATGCCTGCATGGACCCCAGGCTTGCAGGGACAGTGGCCGCGAGCGTCTGCCCCTCAAGAACAAAACAGTTCCGCCGCACAAAAAATCTGCAACCTCCCAATTTGCTTTGAAAGTTGAGATGGCAAGGCAGCAGTCAGGCTGCCAAACGCGGAAGCTACTCCCTGGCGTCATGGTAAGTGACCTGAGAAATATGCGCAGCGCTGACATGCAAGCAACGGCATAGGAGTGAAGCTAGTTACCTTCAGAAAGTTCAAAGTCACAATGGCTATGGCCCCGGGATGCCGGCATGGCAGCTGTCCTGAAAATACAAGCTCTGACTGAAAGTTGTGCGACGGCATAGCGCGTCTGATCTTGAACAAACCAACAGCATCCCAAGTGCTGCAAGCGTTCAATACGCCCACTGAGTGACTAAGTATGCGTCAGCCTCACAGGGGAACACTTCGCGGTTGGGCGTGGCTGCCCTTCTTCGAACCAAAACAGAATCTGCATATCCAAGCTAAAGGCAGCATGGAAACAGTGGGAATCCCAGAAAGGCTTCCCAGGATATCTTCAACTCCTACTGAGCGAGTATTGCCAGCAACTTTGACGACTATTAGGCAAGTTGTATTGCTCAAAAGAGGTCACACTGTTCTGTTCAACATTCCCTAACCTGTATCAACTCAAGCGATGCCAAATCTTTTTCCTCGCTAGTATGGACCCGCTCTTGAAGGCACCGGATGGCGAACCTTGGGCTTTTGAAATGAAACAAGCATTCAGTACTAGGGTGGAGGCCGTCACTAGTAGGGTGGAGGCCATCGCTCTTGGGTTGGAGGCCATCCCTACTCACACTTCGGGAATTGGCAGTCTGAAGTGTCTGAAGGGCGTTTGAAAGGCTTTGATCTGCTTCGCTCAGCATCGAGCTGGTTGAAACCCAACCTTCAAAGACCAATCAAGACCAGTGGGCTGATCAAGTTCATAGCTCAAACACCCAGCTAAAAAGTAACATGGGCCTGCTGCGGTATAAGATCCACTTCGTGTGCCTGTCATGCTAAATCACTGTAAAAAGACAATCCGTTTTGCGGAAAGTGTTATAAGTTATGTTCATGCTACAAATTTCACTCAAAAACCAACCTGGAGCTTGCCATTCTCCCCGATTTCGATGGAAAAGTGGGCTTCATCTCCAGCAGTTGGAAGAACACCTCCGTCACCAGACTTACACTCCTGGAACTTCTCCATGTTGTTCAATATTATAGTGGTCAATTCTGAGTGTTTTGACTGCCATCATTCAGCGCTTGCATGTGCAGGAAAATATCCTGACAAGAAGATGGACAACCGGAGTGATTCAGTATACGAGTCATTGTTTATGACTAAGACTACTAAGATTCTAAGATGCTTGAAAATCCGAAAGCGCCAAAAGCACAAGAGGCCTTGCCATCAAACAAGCTCTTGATCTCGTCGCTCGTGACAAAGCCCCACTTTTTATCTTCCTTGAACAACCTTAGATTTCACAGGCGACTCTTTGACCAACTCTGGAAATGAACGGGTTTGACAAATCTACAGTATTTGGTGATCGAACGCAAAACTTGAGTCAGGCGTTACGTTCTTTCAATTCGACCGGCAAGCACCCCTTCCCGAGTGTCCACTTCAAGCATGCAAGGGCTTGATTTTGCTCGTCATTGCGTCTGCGCAAAGCGGCGAAGATCTTCTGCGGGTTCTTGTCCAGCATCCTGCATAACCTTCACCAAGCCACGTGCCATGCGAACATTCTCACTTGCCCGAAAGTCGCAGGTCAAAAAGGACACCGCGACTCCATGAGCACCAGCTCTGCCAGTACGGCCAATTCGATGAATGTAGTCTTCGACTGTGTTTGGCATGTTGTAATTCACCACGTATGCCACATCCTTTATGTCCAGGCCCCGTTGTGCTACATCTGTTGCTACGAGAATCTGACATTTGCCTCGCTTAAAGTTCTGCAGAATCAAATCACGCTCTTGCTGGTCCTTGTCACCGTGGATCGAATTAGCTGCAAACTGTTCATAGCGGAGCTCTCGACACAGTGCATCAGCACCTTTCTTGGTATCTGTAAACACCAAGATGCGTGGCTGGTTCAGGGAGTCTTTGCAAACCTCTTGGAGCCAATCAAAGAAGCATTGCTTCTTATCCAACTCTGTGACAACTCGGACATCTTGCCGAACATTGGGATTTGCTCTAGCCCCTGAAATGCCAACTGAAACCTTCACGAAGCTCTCCTTGCAAAAATCCTTGGCTAGGTGCTGAATGGATGTGGGCCATGTTGCTGACCACATCAGGGTTTGCCTTTCCTTGCGCAACTGGGAGCTCACCCGCCTCAGTTGAGGTTCAAACCCCATATCCAACATGCGATCTGCTTCATCAATCACCAAATAGCTCACTCTCTGTAGGCTTGTAACCTTTGAATCCAAGAAGTCAAGCAAACGGCCTGGTGTTGCGATGAGAAGTTCAACTCCTCGACGCAGTTCCTGTTGCTGGCCACGCCTCGAAACTCCACCGTACACAACGGCATCTCGGATACCAAGCAATTCACCCAAACGGAAGGCTTCCCATTGGATCTGCATCACAAGCTCTCGAGTTGGAGCCAATACCAGTGCAATGGGCCCTCCGTTTTCTGACCCTTGGGCCTTCACGTGCAACATACCGGGCAGAAGATACGCAAGTGTCTTTCCACTGCCAGTTTCTGCCAGTCCAACCATGTCAAAGCCACCAAGGGCAATTGGCCACGCAACAGACTGAATAGGGGTTGGGCAAGTGAATCCTGTGCTCATCAGGTATTCTTGCACAATCTCTGGGAATCCTGAATCCTCAAAGCTTTGAACTGGTGTTGGTACTGGGCCAGGAGACTCTACAGTCGTGTCATGATGCTGCTGGTAGAAGGAATACTCAGTTTGGATGGCCTCTTTCGCAGACCGACCTGGATTCTCACAATTTCGCAGACTGCCTTTGTTCTCTGGTAGGGATGTCGCTCCACACTGCGGACTACCTCTGACAGATCAAACTCGTGCGAAACCAAAAAAAACAGTGCACAAACGAGGGAACAAGAGATTAATAAGAGCACAACAAAAGGGGATAGAGAAAACAAAAAAGAAACCCAAGAGCTTTCGAAAATGGAGCATCATAATTATACAATATGCTGCTCTTTGACTGCCAAGGAGCTAGAGATCAGTTTGCCGCCGTTTGAACGCTCCGGTCGGCTGGACAAAGGCGGTGGTGGCCGCACGAGCCCACTGGCCTCGAGAGGAGCAACTGGAGCAACTAGCTCTGCTGGTCGTTGCTCTTTGCTTCTGGGAACATCTGCTGACTCAGTTGAGTCATCGACTTCTTGGGTTACACTATTCGGTTGGAGGCCATCGCTCTTAGGTTGGAGGCCATCAGCCCCCACAATGTTCAACCTTTTTGAGGGCTTGCGGAGGGCACGTAGCGGATGCTCATCAATCGGAATGAACACATCATCCTCGTACAGGTCAGCGCGTCTACCATAGGCTTCACTCGCGATGGTCCGCTTGGGCACTCCAATGCATGAAAGCTGCCTCACGACAATGCACTTTTTCCCGATATGGCCAATACGCCATGCCATGTCTCGTCTAGGTGTCACACATGTGCCAAAAGTGTTCATCTCAACTGTGTGCGGTACCTATGTCTGTCTGGAAGTATCTGGAAGAACAGTCTTCCTGATCTCATCCACATCGAGAGAAATGAAAACGCAGTTGGAGACACAAAAAATAGATTATCCATGGTGTGATTAATAATCTCATTTGGTGAACTGCGGATGAAGATGCTACCTCGCTCTGAGCCAAGAAGGAGCTTGATCAGATTGCATGAGTGGCCCCATGGTCAAGTCAACGCTTGTTTGTGAATAGCGTTATTTTTCTGAAGAAGAAAGCTGAACAAAAAAACAAAAGTATCTTCCAAGACTTTCTCGGTCAAAGAGAGACAATTCAGCTTGCCGAGGGCCAACTTGACTGAACCAGCGTAGCGCTTCCCTGGCCTCAAGTTTCCCAGTTTGCCAAGCATTGGCTTCTTGTTTCAATTCAGAAACGGCTGTAAAATCGCTTTCTCCAACAATGGAAGCAGGAAAACTTACAGCAATTCAGAACCTCGATGAAACATTTGAAACATTTGCACCGAGCGAGTCTAAATTCAGCACAAGAGTTCCTCAACTGACTACCCAGAGTCTGGTCCTTAAGAACCTTGTCCAACAAAGCAAGCTTCATCTCTCTCTCTCTCTCTGCTGCTGCAGTGCATTTAAGGTTTCAGCTGCCCTTCAAAGCCATAACTTTGGGGTGGATACGCCTAAGAACTACGCATGTCAAGTTTTGTCCTGCGCAATTCAGATTGCACAAGCTCCCATGCAAGCAGTTGCACTGGCGTGGTTCTGAGATTACGGCCTTCACTTCATAGGCCTCGCTTGTAAACGCTTGTAATTGCACCAAGCAATTACATCATGTAGGTTGGAGGCCATCGATATATATAATAGAAATTGCATCATGTAGGTTTTGAAGCTGACACTTTGCACAAAGCCTGAGGGCCCCTATCAGTTTGCTTCACCTGGACCGGTGCCACGAGCTGCTTCTCGTAAGAAATCCAGGTGAGCAAAGTTCAACATCCAGGTGTGGATCAAACATGAAACTGGATGAAATTAGCAACCTAACCTCACTACAAGGTCTTTCACATGCCTTGAAGCCCACCAAAGTGCCAGCTTCAACTACAGCATCACCTCGGAGCTCTGAACTACTGTAAGCCATCACTGTACTGTAGCACACATACTGGCCCCAGCTGCCTAAGGCTGATCGCATCACGAAGACTTCCTTGCCAAACAGGATCTTTGCCACCTGAAGCACCAAGCTCGCAAAAGCAGCACTGAAGACACGGTCTGGCACCTATGTTGTTGCTGGGTCTTCTGGTCTATCCACAATATACAGCAGAATATGGACCATGTGTCGCATGTGCTATCCACAATTCACAACCGATCGCACGTGGATCACCCGCCTGGCAAGTTATGTGTCCCCATCCTTTCTCTTGATTGTATCCTGCCGATCAAAATCACGTCCAACCATGTGTTACCGGTCTGCTACGTGATCAATCTGTCTGACAAAATGCAGCTGCCTGAACATGTTGCTGTCGCCCAAACTGGGCTCAGGCAATTTTAGGGTACTAGTGCTTTTGCTGCAAGGAAGCATGCGCACGGCGCACGGCAAAGAAATTGCACCATGGAAGTAAGATGGGACACAATCGGGAGTCGAGCTCAAGGCCTCCTGGAAGGAAGCAAACCTTGAGCGAACTGAAACCTATTGCTGGACATTTGGCCGTGTCCTTCGGGTTTTTTGCACATGAAGCTGGTAGCAACACCAGCGCAACGATACAGGTCTATAGGAAATCTTCAAGCGGTGCAAAAGGGTTCATGCATGACTGTGCTTTCGACTGGGTCTCCAAAGTCACTCTAGATTAAGGTACCAGTGTTCCTTGAGCAACCACAAAATTACAATTTATCACTACGTCAAGCTCAAGGCCTTTAATAGCTCCAAAGAAGTATTGTTCGGACTGCATCTGCATAGGGCTTTGCCTGAGCACAGTCCGAAGCTGCCGAGAAAGTGTGGGAGCAACTAAGACCGAAACACAAAGCCCGGCCCGACTTGCAAGGGTGCTCCATACCTCAAACTCCAAAGGTCTCCAAAACCACAGCAAATCACCTATTTGCAAAACGATTGTTGAATGTGGTTTCATGCTGTATAAAAAGAAACAAACTTTATATACATCTTTTGCCTTGCCCCGAAGTTGGTTGGCGCAGTCTTGGAAGGGACAACCGGTTTCATCGATGCCATGCGTGTCAAGTAGCGCAGATGTTGGAACCGCTTGAGGCACCCTCGGTGACGCTTCCGCATGGTCGATCACAGGGGCATGCCGGATCTCAGTGACAGGCATTCCACCAGCCAAGCTGATGTTCTGCGCCTGCGCATTTGTGGAATGAACCATTCTGCAAACTGGCAGTCACCTAGTACTTAGTACAACTCCCAGCAATTTTGGTAAGCTTTTCAGCCACAAGCCTGAGGACCCCGAGTTGCTTCATGCACAACGGTGAAGGTCACTTGCCTCAGCGCAAAAGCTTCAGACTCTAGAAAATGTGAATGTTTACTAAGCTACCTAAGAGATCTAAGAGTTGCATGAACTCACAAGAGAAACACCTGGCTCTGGGAGTGGGGCTGACCTTCCTGTACAGGTGCTCTAAGAGAAGACTTCATGAAGAACAAATCCTGGAGGGCTGAGATTTGCATACTTCTGCAGCTTGCTGTCTTTGCACTCTCACCTATACAATCGATCCTTTTGGTTTATGCTGGCGTTCTGCCCACCTTGCCAAAAGACTGTAGGATTTGCTCGCTCGTGATGAAGCCCCATCCTTGCTACGGTTTGGAGCCACCTCAATGCTCTAAGCTCGGTCACGCTGAGTAGGGCTCCTTTCTGGGTATTGAAAGACTTCACTATGCCCACGTACTGAGATGAAGCCTGACCTGAGCTCCGAATCGCGATCGTGTGTCTACGAGCATGAGGATGTCATGTCAGGGTGTGTCAGTATGTCACGTCGTGTCTGGGAGTCCGGCCACTATAAGGGCTTTGACCCGACAGTTGACTCGGCCTTGGAGCCTGTAGAGCCTGTGGACCCTGTGGACCTTGTGGCCTAAATGCAGGTGGAGCTGGCGTGAAGCCACTCGGCCCGAAGCCTCCAGGAGACACGAAGCCTGCCTGGGGCACCTGGTTCATGCCACCCATGCACGCACCACCCATGCCACCCACACCACCCATGCCACCTGCACCCATGCCGTTGGCCTCACAAGTGCACATGAGTTGAGTTGTGACGCACAGAAGGAAGAGTGCTTCCAAGCTAGGGTGGTCGCAGTAAGACTTTTGAGGACGACAATGTTCTCAGCCTACAAACAGAATCGGTCCACAGCAGGGGCACAGGTGGGTAGGCCGTAAGAGTAGCTACCAGCTACTAGTTTGCGCAACTAGTAACAGTAGTAGCGTAAGTAGCTACGAGTATCTTCGACGCAGAAGGAAAAGGGCTCAGGCTTAATAATTTGGTTCATAGATTGTTTGGGAACTTAGAATCTTCACAGTCCACACATCACCTTTCTGCTGCGTGCTTCCTGAACTATGCTACACAATACAAGTAGATTGAAGAACTCGTTGCCATGCATGGGTGGCACTTCGACTGGGGACTGACCAAACACATACGGTTCCCTACCAAACAGGCCTTGTTCTCGTGCGGAGCTGCTAAACTTGAAACCCCCCACCCATTTCACATCCACTTCACTTCACCGCTCTCTTCCTCTGAAAGATTGAAAGATTGCCTTCTTTCGAGCTATTGCAAGCTGACTGATTGAATCGGATTGAAAGATAAACACTTGTTTGCGAACTCTGGGGGGAACCCTTGGAGTTGGGCTAGCGGAACACGCGGTGAAAAAGAGTTCCAGGGAAAGCAATGACACTCTTGCACCAAGCAATGCAACAAGGGCCCTCCTGAGGCCCTTTGACACTGTCAATCACGCGAAACATCACCTGCCCCAGCAAGGCGCAAATAACATGTTTTCAGTGTCAAAGTGACCAAATCTCACGTGATCTAGCGTGCAGAGCATTGCCTCGTCTCCTGCGTTGACTGGTACTTGAAGTCCCTGAAGAGAAGTCTTGAGGACAAACACATCCTGCAAGAGTGGATTTAGATGGATCGGAATTAAAACATGTCTTTCCTGAATACGGAGAAAAGCCGTTTGAACAAAGGTAATAGAGTTGCAAAGATCTAGTGGATCTAGTTCTAGCCTTCTAGCCGTCTAGCCGTCCTTCCCATAGATGGCTTTGGTCTCCGAGTTCTCAATGAACCCATAGCCCTTGTCGAGGTTGAATGACCTCGAGGCACTTCATCAAGACAAGCCAAATGTGTTTGCGAAAAAGATATCGTTCATCGAAAGACCATTTTTGAGCGATCGTCAGGAACCTAGGTTCCGTAGATGTGCAGTGATGCTAGGTTCCTGACTTTATAGTCCCTTTATACTGTGCCATAGCTGCTCTCCCCTTGCCACAGGGTTTGAGCCAAGCTTCAGATAGAACCATTAAAGTGTGTTCACGGGAGAGTTATCTGGAAAATCAAGGATAGGAAAAGGAATCAGAAGAAGGTCTTTAAAAAAGAATCAACAAGGATGTAACAGAAGAAGCTCTGCAAGTGTTGAATGTTGTATAATTCATGTGAGAACATACGGTGGCGGTTTGTCGCAGCCCTTCTTTTGCATTGGCGGAGTAGCATGTGGTGAAGCACAAAGACCCACAGGTAGAGTTCACCTGGCGCAAGACAATTCTGAAGAACAAAGCACACAATGATGCAGTACTTGGCCCAACAGCAATCTCACTTGGGATCCCGAATTGACCGAGAGGGGTTGGTTGGATGGGTTCAGAGTAATTCTCTGCAAAAAGTGGAGCCGTGTAGCTGCAAGATTGCAAGCACTTAACAAGTGAGCAACTCTGGCATAAGCAAAAACATGTTGCCTGGTTGGCTGAGCTTACATCACAGCTGTCCACACCTTCAATCGACAACTCCATGTCAATCACGCCAGACTGCGTGACAAACCCTCAGGTGCGTGTAGCAGTAGGCTTCAAGAAGGGACAAGCAATGGCATCTTGCCAATAGTGCTTTTGTTATGTCCAAGAGAAACATCTAAAAAAGTACACACTATATATACATTAATCATACACATGTCTTGAAACTACTAGTAAAACAAGGGCATCGCTACTAGTAACAAAGGCATTACCAAGTAGCGAAAGTAACGAAAGAAAAACAAATCACTTTCTCCCTGGTCTCCGACTTGGTCGAAGCCCGGAACAGTCCCACACCTCAGGTACTAGGAGCAAGGGGATCCTGGAATCGCTACTAGGAACAAGAAGCTACTAGGAGCAAAGGGCATCGCTACTAGGAACAAGGAAGAGGCTGAATACAAGAGTTAAATAGAAAGAATTAACACCAGAGTTAAGAAAAATTAACTCTGGTATTCGCTCCATTTCTAGGAACAAGGACGCCTGGAAAACATGGAACGGGAACGGTCCCACACCTCAGGTGGAGACACTGTTTTTCTGTCACATTTGACCGACAGCTTAGGCCATGTGACAGGCCTATCGGCGCTTACAGCTCAATTTCTCCAGCGCCCTTTTGGCGAAACATGGTAGGATTCTTGTGAGCACTCCGGTCCACTAGTCTCACCTGGTCAGCACCTTAAAAGTTGGCCATGAACAATGTATTTCTTTGAGGGAAAAGTGTACAGCTGGCAGACTGCAGCTGCAGCTTCACTTTAGAAGGTTGCGAATCTGAGTAAGTTCAGCTTCAAGACCTCAAGCCTTCATCACCTTCACCAATCTTGAAGGTATCAATCTTGCGAGTGTCACTCAAGTTCTGTGGCCATCGGGATAACATTTAGCATACGCCATCCACCTCGGTAGGATTGTTTATGGTGTTCATGATAGTCCATTTTGCTAGAGCGCACATTGAAAGGTGGACGAATGGTTTGCCGTTGCCACCGATCAAACACAAAGCAGTCGCCGCTGCCACCAAAGCATCTTTGCAAAATACCAAATTATGCGAATTATGTCTGATTTCTTGCCGCCAAAACGCCCAATGCTTGGGATGATGTCACTCGTGAAGCTGGAGAAAACGATTGTAGATTGGATGCGGTTGTCATTGTGTCCAGCCATCGTTTGCTTTCCCTCCCGTGCTTTTTTCTCCTCTTTTTCATGCTAATCTGGTGACATGGTCAGTCCTCTGGCCATGATGGCCATGGTGGCCCTTGAGTGCTGTTCGTGGCATAACGGCATAACCCTTTCGTGGTGTATCATGCTCTACCTCAGATGGTGGCACAAATCCTCGATACCTTGTGAATTTCTGCCAGGCCTTTGTCGTACAAGGATTTTGGTGATGCAAATTGCGACGTCTTCAACCATGTTGCCTCTTGCTGGCGCTTTGGATTACCTTAATGTCCTCCGCAACAGCAAGCACTTATGACTAAAATGCACTCATGGTTGGGATGCAAAGTGCAGGAAATATGCCACCAGTCAAATCCAGATTAGCACACTTTTGAGCCTCTGCTCAATGGAGTGATTGGTGTGGGAGTCCCCCTGTAGTTGAACGCAACATTTGTCATTTGCAATCACATTGACATGGCTGGAAGCAATGCAGAGTTGCACCTGATACAGGCCGTGGCTGCGGGTGTGCTCACCGATCATCGCAGATCACACAGAATCGCCATGACACAAATTATCAGAATCGATAGAAACCCTTGCGAAGCACAACACGGAAGCTGGGCCATAGATTCCTGGTGGAATGAATAGTGTCAGCCAAGAGCGTGGAACAACACGTGCAAATTAGGGTACATTGAGTTCATTGAACTTGAAGGATGGCGGCCAGCTGTCCTGCATAGCACGTGTAAGCAATGCGCCACATCCTCTTAGCACATATGTACCTTTCATATACCGTGTCATGTCCCGTGTTTGTTCCTCACTGCAACTTCTTACTCTGTCAAAAGAGAGGCAAGTTAGTCCTCGACTTGAGCTGAGCTAGCTGAGCTCGATAAGCTCACTGAGCTCTGCGCGGCAGAGACATGGAAAAGGTTCCTTGCGCGGGGTACCTAGTGTGCAAGCAGGATAGAGCGAAGAGTAGACAGTAGCCATCTCCAAAAGCAAAGGAAGCGAAAGAAGTCAGAAGAATCCTGAAGCCTGAATCACTCAAAGCAACCCATCGACTTTTGGTGCAGTAAAACAAGGACAAGTATATAATCCGTAAGGTGTCAGCCTTGGGAAAGTATACTTTAATTCACAGTTGGTCACGCTCTTGCGGGAGGCTCCGCAGGATGCGCGCTTCGCACCTGTTGCATTCCCAAGTTGTGGAATGTTGAATTCTCTGTGGTACTTCCAGGTTTTCCTTTGAAAACTGAATGTGCAGAAAAAAAGGAATTGGTTCCAAACCATTAATTGTACCACACTGAATGCATTGTCGCATGAGCAAGAACGTTGAACAAACCCGGATCAATTTTGACCATTTGACAGGACACTTGATTGAAGGCTTAAAGGGCCTGTCTAGCGGTGGCATCAGCTTGCTGCTTGGCTTGGACCTTGGAACATCGAGAAAAGTAGTGAAAACATGCTGGGTTGGGATAATGATCTAGTGTCGAGGGCGATACTGCCTGCTGCGCAATGTAAGCACGTTGATGCGCTACCTTCGCGATTCAGAATTCGATTTCATTTGCGGCATCAAATTGATCAGTATCTCGAAAAGGTATCCACTTGCCTGTTGCGCAGCTGCACTTTGGTGAACCTCCAAGTATCATCTAAGTTGTCTTTAAAACCATGCGAATTCCAGAAGGGTCAGACATCATTACAAAGAAATTGCATCTGTATTCTTGCACCTTTCACAACACCTGCATTCTCGATACATTCATGCGTGAGTCAAACTGAACCTCAACTGATTGTACATGCATGGAACACACCATGACCCTGGTCCAGCAAACACATGCACGGCGGAAAAAACCACCGGCACACTGAGGCCTGCAGTTCCTTCATCTCTTCATTGTACTGCAGTTGGGTCTGCAACAAGGACACAAACAAATAAAAAAAATTCTTGCAATTCGGGGGAATTGCAATGGATCCCTTCAAGTCTGGTTCGCTCGGTCACCCAAGGAACGATGCGGTCCCGAAAAAGAAATGCTACGATGCCCGGCCGCACTGTTTCTGCATGCTCAAGAGCCCTTGTGAGCCAGTGCAGCGGAGCGCTGGAAGTGTGCAACGACTTCACCTTCGTCAGGTGATCAGTTTGTTGCCGATCGGTTCCTCTTGTTCTGGGTCGATTTCTGCCGCCGTTTCCTTCAGGCCGACCAGACGCAGAAGTCATCCGCTTTGCATATAGAATGGTAGTCCTGGACGAGGACCCCGCCCAACGAGAGCAGTAAATCGCCGAGTCAACTCCCGTCCATCGCCACGGTCTCTGAGGCCAGGGTGCTCCGGCACTGTCTGGATTCGATGGCTGCGCCGGTCCAGCAATCAGGTGTTGTCGCCTGCGCAGAGTCGACGTCATGGCCTTCAACAAAATCCATGTATCGCACCTGGGATTTCAGTTCTGAGGCGTCAACTAGCCCAGCTGCTGTCGGCAAACATGACCATTTTGGCCTTCTCGAGGTCGATGGCCTTGAAGTGAAAGCCCCAATCTTCTGAAGATTTCGGCTTTATTATATAGAGTGAGGTGGGGAAGAGCTCAGCATTGGGAATTGCCGACCGCCACTTTTAGGAACTGAAGTGGTTTAGCTGCCTGAGTGAACTTCTGCTGGTTGAGCTTGGCGACACCATCGTTGACGGTGATCTGCTTGCCTTGGGGCGTGAGGCCCAAACACTGTCGACAGCAGTTGAGACTGTGAAAATGGGAACCTGCATAAATAAGTGTCCACACGGGTAATCAATCCCAGCGGCCAACCACCATCAAGTTCTGGTCGTAGGAGAGAAACCTGACCAGCAAAAATGTGTTGGCGTCACCGTCATCATCGATCAGCGAAGACCGTCCCTGCAATGCCCGTCAGGATCTAGGCAGACCTTTGGCCAAACCAATACTGCTCAAATTCCGGCTGCTGCAAAGGCATGATGTTGCCATTGGCTCCACTGTCGGTCGCCTGCGACAAGCAAGCACAGACGGTCGACCACGCGGACTATATTGGTCAAAGTGTGTCTGGATTCGGTCCTGCGGACTGATCACAAAATGTGTCCACACGGCGGGCTTTAGCTGTGAGGGCGTGGTACAAGCGGCCTGGACTGCCTCAACCGAATCGCTGTTGGATGACTTGCATGGCTTCTTGGCCTCAAGGATCTTCCGCGCTCGGTCCAGCGTGGCGCCCACCAAGTCGTCGGAGTAGAGAGTCTCGTTCTTTAGAAGGTCGGCTTGTCAGTGGTTCTGAAGGGCACGAGCCCAACCGAAAGCCTCGTTCATTCACCTGCTTGCTCTCAGCAGCGGTCACGGCTGTCGCTGGAGGTACCTTCGTAGGGAAGGTCTTGGCCGTGGTGTCCGTCCTTACTGCAC